ATATATATATATATATTTAAATGATATATATTTATATATATAAAGGACTATTATATATATATATATGTTTATATAAACATATATATATATATATATATATATATATATATAATATATATTTATATATATTATTACAAACTATTTATATATATATGTATATATATAAAATTAAATTTATATAGTCGTTTTCTGATATTTGGTATCTATCTATCTATCTATATATATATATATATATATATATAAAATAGGTATATATATAAAAACATATATATATATATATTTATATATTTATATTTTTTTTTCAGAAACCAGCGAAAAATGTCTTTTCACAAGTTCAGAACTTTTCTTTTTTTAAATGATGTTACATGTTTTTTAAATAAATAAAAAAAAAATTTTTTCAAAAAATTTTCCATGTTCATTATGAGAGGTGTTTAATATTTTAAGTTAAATTCTGAAAGATATTGATATAAAATTAAGAAAAAAAGACACTTTATTCATTAGTAATCAGAAATACATTTGTGTGCGTCTGTTTTTTTACAATGCAATTCTAAAACAAATTTAAATCAAAAATTGGACGTTATTTCCTAGCATCCTTTTAAAAATTTTGTATTGAAATTATAAATTTTTTATATTTTGTTTTCAATACACTACATGGATATTTGCAAAACGATAAAATTTCTCCCCATGCAAGAAAAAAACTTTGGTCGAGGCAGTTGACCAAAATAAACCGATTTTATCTTCCAATGTCCGTTTTAAACAATTTTCCTGATTGAAATGTAAATTTTCTGCGTTAGTTTGATTGCATATTTCACTTATAATTTATAAAAATTGCTCCGTTTTCAAATTCCTGGTGTTTAGTGATCGAAATCTGTTTTTTTTCAAAAATGTGATGCCTTGCCAACATGCTGGAATTGTTCGATCTCATACGCATGAAAATGTTTTCGAATATATTTTTTATATTCTAATATGACGTTTTTTGAAAATAAGGATTTTTATAAGGCTTTTGTAATTTTATTTTTTTTTTTTTAATAAAAAATCAAAAAGAAAAATGAATTATAAAGTATAAATTATTATGCTAAAATAAAAACATCCAAAGAATGTGGTGTTTTTGAACTTTTTTTTGATTCTAATATAATAATTATTCGTATGAATCTAATTATACTCTTTACGTAACTCTTTCACGTTTCAATCTCGCTCTCTTTGGTCTTTCTCTCTTTCAACAAATTACACATTTCATTACAAACATACACACACATATGTCTTGAAAATATCCCATCTCTTATAAATATGCTCTTCTTGATTATATATATATATATATATATATATATATATATATATATATATATTCAGTGAACATTGAATTAACACTCAGAGGCGACACCCTGTTTTCATTGTAGAGAAATCGTATAGCATGAAAAATTTTACCAATGTTTGTAATTTTGTGTTTTTGTTTGGAAAACTGTGTTGGTTTTGGACATTGTGCATTGAATTATTCTCATTTTTTACTGAATTATATATATATATATATATATATATATATATATATATATATAAAAAATTCATTTATATGGCATTTTAATGTATATTTTTGACGCCAAAAAAAATCTTTTTCGTCCCAGCCTTATCAAGTTTATTTTTTTTATAACAAATAAAAAATGTTTCATTTAATTGATATTTTAATAACAAATAGAGAATTTGAATATATGAAAATATCAATTGCTTTAGATTCCAATAATATTCAGACCCAGTAAACATTCCAATCTGTTTACAGAGGGAAGGACCACGTTTATCTGATATAACAAAAAATATTGTAACCTTTAAGGTTGATATTTTGAATTATAACTCGATAAATTAAAAAAAAATGGTCCAACAAAATGAAAGACACAATTCATATTATTTTTATAAAATGCTAATTAATAGAAGAGGATTTAGTATTAATTAGTTGACTTTTTTTTTGGCATCCGGATTCAAATTCCTGGGTGTAAAATCATTCCTTTATTATCTCAGATTCAAACGTTTATTTTTGACGTCCTCCCTATATAGTCGAGTCTATAATACACTTATATTTATAAATCACTGAAACATTTCTTTTGTCTAGAAATTTTACGAATGGAGGAGAAAATAGGACGGGTATTTTGGTATATTGACCTCTTTACTAGAAATATAAAAATAACAGCTATCCATCGCAGGTTTTGTTTTATTAGTTTTTAAAGACTAAAAGCTCATAAGAGAATAAGGATAAGTTGATATTTAAACTTTATTTTTTTTCAAAAAAATCGGTTTAACTTAATGAAATTTATTGATAACATCATGGATAACAGAATCAATATATATATATATATATATATATATATATATATATATATATATATATATATATATATATATATTCATTGAAAAATTTTCTTATACCAACTACAAAAACGTAGCAATAACTGATACATTAAAATATAGACATATTGAAAAATCCCATATTCACCGCTAGTCTAGCAAAAATGTATTTATTTGTAACCTTTTTAAACATGAATTATATTTTAGCTGTGTATTTAAAATATCAGTAATTTTAAAAAATCTTTTTGCAAATTCGCTTGAGGATGAAATGGAACTAATGTCTTTAATTTAATTACAAAATTAAATTCGTAATATATTTATATTCCAACTTGAAACATGGTTAGAAATTTTAAATAAAAAAAAATATTTAAATCAATTAATTTATAATATTAATGCTCTGTCAATTTTTATTGAGCACTATTTTGTAAAATAAAAATATCTATAAAACACCGGATTATATATCTTACTGTTCTTTTTTTTTATTATATATATATATATATTTATATATATATATATATATATATATATATATATATATATGTGTGTGTGTGTGTGTGTGTGTGTGTGTGTGTGTGTGTGTGTGTATAAACACGTTATGTTTCCATTTTGCAATGTACGATGCATATTGCGTTTGGTTTAAATGTGTGTTTATATAAAATTGATTTATTGGCCATGTTTATGTGACACTCGGCTAAGTCTTGTTTAATCAATTCCTTTTGTCGCCCGCCCATTTTCAGGAAATAAACCGATTCAGTGTTTATGAAAAGACGAAATTACGACAACATGTGTGTTGTGATTATTACACTTGAGTTTGGTGTGTCTAAAGCTTGTTTTATGGCCATATTTCACAACAAATCTTTATATTTGTCAGGTGTGAAAAAAGATGGAAGGTTAAAACTAAGTTTTAACTCATTCCATAGTAGAACATAGTATAATCACGCTTATTTCCCATTTTTTTTCTGCTTTTTTCTAACGCATTTTTGATTTATCTGTCGATGGCAATGGGATTGGTAGCGGAAAGACGATCAAAATGAGACTCCGAATCTTTGTAATCTTTGATTTGATAGAAATACTTTGTGGTTCTACGTCTTTCGTTATCTTTTTCTATGAATCACCCTGCTCCTTTTTTTTTTTTTCTAATTCAATGTACTCTTTGTACCTTAATTTCTCAAGGTAGGACATTTCGATCCTGGCAGTTAATCCCCTATTTTTCCGTCTGTATACGTTCCATGTGCTTTGAAAAATTATTGCCCTTCAATTGATTCTTGATTTCTGTTAGAATTAATATGTTGGTCACGTATATTTAAATCGAAGACGTTTTCTCTATCCTATCTCCTTACTATCTTTCTTGCCTTTCTTTCATTCTTTCCATCTTTTCTTCCATTTTAATGTCCTTCTTTACTTCCATCTTTATGTCCATCTTTTCACTTTTCTTTCATTTCTTTCTATTCTACTCTCCTTTCTTTACTTTTGTCTTTTCTTCAGTCATTTTTTTCTATCTTTCCTTCATTCTTTATGACAATCTTTCTTTCCTTCTTTATGTCGTTGTTTTCAACTTTCTTTCTGTCATTTTTCCTCCCCTTCATTCTTTCCTTTTGTCTTTTTTCTTTTCTTCCTTCATTCCATCTTTCCTTACTCCATTACATTCTTCCTTCCTTTATTGAAACTTTCCTTCCTTCTTTATGTCCCTCTTTTCATCATTCTTTCTTCTTTCTTTCTTTCTTTATTTATTTATATTTTTCTTTCCTTTTGTCTTTTCTTCCTTCCTTCGTTGTCTCCATCTTTCCTTCCTTCTTTTCATCATTCTTTCTTTCTTTCTTTCTTTCTTTCTTTATTCATTTATTTATTTATCTCCATTCTTTCCTTTTGTCTCTTCTTCCTTCCTTCCTTCCTCCCTTCCTTTTCTCCATCTTTCTTTCTTTCTTTCATTCTTTCATTCATTCTTTCTTTCTTTCTTTCTTTCTTTGTTTATTTATTTAGTTATCTCATTTCCTTAATTCCTTCCTTCCTTCCATCTTTTTTCTTCTTTATGGCCTTTCTTTCGTTCTTTATTTATTACCTGTCTTTCCTTTTGTCTTTTCTTCCTTCATTCTTTCGATCTTTTTTCATCTTTATGTCATTTCTTTCTTTCTTTCTATCTTTCTTTCTTTCTTTCTTTTTTTATTTGTTTATTTATTTATCTCCTCTCTTTCCTTTTGTCTGTTCTTCCTTTCTTCCTTCTTTCCTTCCTTCCATCATTCCTTGTCTCCATCTTTCCTTCCTTCTTTCCATCTATTTTTCTTCTTTATATCATTTCTTTATTTCTTTATTTCTTTATCTCATTTCTTTCCATTTATCCATCCTTCCTTCCTTCCTTCCTTCCTTCCTTCCTTGCCTCCATCTTTCCTTCCTTCTTTCCATCTTTTTTTTCTTCTTTATGTGATTTCTTTCTTTCCTTCTTTATTTCTTTCTTTATTTCATTATCTCCTTTCTTTCCATTTGTCTTTCCTTCCTTCCTTGTCTCCATCTTTCCTGCCTTCTTTCTATCTTTTTACTTTATGTCATTTCTTTCTTTCTTTCTTTATTTATTTGTTTATTTATTTATTTATCTCCTGTCTTTCCATTTGACCTTCCTTCCTTCCATCCTTGTCTCTATCTTTCCTTCCTTCTTTCCATCCTTTTTCTTCTTTATGTCATTTCTTTCTTTCTTTCCTTCTTTATTTATTTATTTATCTCCTTTTTTCCATTTGTCTTTCCTTCCTTCCTTCCTTCCTTCCTTCCTTCCTTGCCTCCATATTTCCTTCCATCTTTCCATCTTTTTTCTTCTTTATGTCATTTATTTCTTTCTTTCCTTCTTTATTTCTTTCTTCATTTCTTTATTCATTTATCTCCTTTCTTTCCATTTGTCTTTCCTTCCTTCCTTCCTTCCTTGTCTCCATCTTTCCTTCCTTCTTTCCATCCTTTTTCTTCTTTATGTCATTTCTTTCTTTCTTTCCTTCTTTATTTATTTATTTATTTATTTATCTCCTTTCTTTCCATTTGTCTTTTCTTCCTTCCTTCCTTCCTTCCTTGTCTCCATCTTTCCTTCTTTCTTTCCACCTTTTTTGTTCTGTATGTCATTTCTTTCTTTCTTTCTTTCTTTGACTTTTCTTCCTCCCTTCTTTCCATCTTTCCTTCCTTCCTTCTTTATGTATTTCTTTTCTTTCTTCTTTTTCTTTCTTTCTCTCCTTTGTTTCCTTCTTTCCTTTCTTTCCTTCTCTCTTTTCTCTCCTTTTGTATTTTCTTCATTCCTTCTTTCCATCTTTCCTTTCTTTTTTGTATCCATCTTTCCTTCCTTATTTATGTCAATATTTCATTCCTTCCTTCTTTCCATTTTTCTTTTTTCTTTCTTCCTTTCTTTCTTTCTTTCTTTCATTCTTTCTTTCTTTCTTTCTTTTCAACTTTCTTTCTATCTTAATTTCATCCCTTCTTTTCTTCTCTCCATTCTTTCTTTCTACCTTTCCTTCTTTCTTTCCATACTTTTTTCCTTCTTTATGTTCATCTTTCTTTGCTTCTTTCTACCCATGTTTCCTTCCTTATGTCCTTCTATCTTTTTTTCTTTCTTTCTTTCTTTCTTTTCATCTGTCTTTCTTTCCGTCTATCTTTCTATCTTTTTTCTTTTATTCCATTCTTTCTTTTGGTCTTTCTTTTTTTCTTCCTACCTTCCTTCTTTCTTTCCTTCGATGTTGATATACCACACTACTTCAAATAAAAAGTGA